CGAGCCTGGGAAAGATGTCGAAGTTCAGAGTATGCATGCCCTCCATGCGCGCACCCACAGGTCTCAGCAAACTAACGCATGCGCCCAGTTCTCCTCCAAGCCATGAAGGAAGACCCACCGCCAGATGCGAAGTGCCGCGACAAGTTCCTTGTGCAATCTGTCCTCGTCACCGCCGACAAGGAGTTCACCAACGTTGGGTCTTTGGTATGTCACAATATTGGGATATTAGGATTGGATGCGTGCTAATAGGTGCTTGTAGTGGTCGCACATCGAGCAGACCGCCAAGTCTTCCATCCAAGAGAAGAAGATCAGAGTCCTCTTCCTCGCACCCGACGATGCCTCCAGCGCAACTCCTGCGAGAACCAACGGTGTTAGCCGCGATTCGATGCTTTCCTCTCCATCCCCCGAGGCCGTGACTCCTCAGCGCGGCGTATCAGACGCTTCTGGGCCTGTCTCCGTTCCCTCGGAGCGCCCATCGGGAAGCAAAGACTTGGGCGAGATCAGGAACGAGACCTACAACCCCGCATCGAGTGGTAATATGGGGTCGAGCTTCAGCTCTGCCGCTGGAACTGTCGCTAGTGCCATGCCATCTTCAAGCGACGTGGAGGCCCAGCTTGCTGAAGCCAAGGCCCAGATTGCGCGATTGACACAGCAGGTCAGCGAGGCCACTGGTCTTCGCCAGCGAAAGACAGGATCCGCCCAGGACTCGAAGCAAGGAGTTTCGACCTCCATGGACACACGGCAAGCTCCCGCAGGCGGCGTGTCTGTCCAGATCACCGCCCTTCTATGCCTCATCAGCTTCCTGATTGCTTATTTCCTCTTCTGAGCGTCCTCCCACCATACCTGGCACCGGAAGGCCAGTGAAGCACCGTGCGCCAACCGCGACCCCGGATCTACATTGTGCGGAGACGGCGCGAAGTTGGGCGACATCTTTCAACACACGGAGACGAAGGGATAGGGTGGTAGTAGGGCGCAGGACGACAGGATGGACAGGTGCTTTTCTCTTTCATGTGGGTATTTCTTGCTTGGATGGAACTGGGGCTGTTTGTTGGTTACACATACGAAGTGGCAGCTGCTAGGGAGGCATGACCACATTTGTGTGCAAGCGTCCATGTATCAACAGCTACATAATTCGGAGTTGCAAAGTTGCGAAATTGATTAACAAAAATAATGTCTACGTATACTTGTATTGGCTTATGCCTTGACTGTGTCGCGTGGTGAATGGCCGATTACGGCGATGTTCTGAATGGGCGCATCCCCCAGGCGTTCGAGCATCTCCGCGTACGCGAAACGAAAGCGAGGTGCAAGAACAGTCAACACTCCACAAGTTTCATCGACGTCAGACTTCATCCTTGCAGATTGTGGATACTCCCAGCTGCCAACCCCGAACTTATCTTGCCGCGGCGGTCTTCGGTCATGGAAATGACTTTAGTGGGGCAGGCCGACCTCGCTAGGATTTTGTGACTCTAAGATAGCAGCTTACCCTTCCTCTTGCGCTTGAATCCGACTCTATCTTCCTTCATCCAATTCACCTTCGCCCAGTATGTGTGGGATATTCGCGTGTCATAAGTAAGTTTCGACCGTTGCGCGCGCGCATCCACCGAATTAGCACTACTCCAGATGATTTGCGCCCATGTTGATACGCGGCTAACAACTTCTCCAAAAAGGCATCCTGATGTGCAGACCTTCAAGCCTACGGCCCTGAAGGTAAGTTCCGACTGTATCGACTGCATAGGAGCACATTCTAACAAATTGTAGATGGGAAAGGCCGTTCGGTGCGTGATTCCTCGAAACCCCTCCATTCAGCGACTACATCAAGAGAACCTCTGTGCTGACTGATAGATAAGCCATCGAGGTCCAGATTGGTGTAAGCATTCTTTGTGACTATTTATGCGCCAACAATCACAATGACTGACACTTTACAGCTGGTAACCATGTTGCGAACAACACCAGTGAGGCACTCTTGGAACACTGAGTCACACACAGTACTAAAGACGGACAGTCCTGGTTCACGAGCGCTTGAGCATTGTCGGCGTCGGTAAGATATCACTAGCCATATATTACTTTTGGCGGAAGCTTACACGGGTCAGAATCTGGCGCTCAGCCACTCGTCAACGATGAGGGAACCGTTTCCCTGGCCGTCAACGGCGAGATCTACAACCACCGAATCCTCCGCAAGTCCCTCAAGAACCCGTACAACTTCAAGACACACTCAGATTGCGAGGTTATCATTCCTCTGGTAATATTGGGCACATTTCTTGTACGGCATAGAGGCTGACGCATGGCAGTATCTCGAACATGACATCGATGCTCCCCGGAAACTCGACGGCATGTTCTCGTGGGTCCTTCACGACAAGGCTCAAGATCGTGTCATCGCAGCACGCGACCCGATCGGTATCACCACCTTCTACATGGGCCGATCCAGCACAGCACCAGGCGCGGTTTTCTTCGCTTCCGAGCTGAAATGCTTACACCCCGTCTGCGACAACATCATCTCCTTCCCTCCCGGGCACGTCTACGACTCGAAGACGGATTCGCTCACGCGATACTACGACCCCAAGTGGCTGGTCGAGCCCGAGAACATCCCTACACAACCCGTAAACTACAAGGAATTGAGGGCATCGTTTGAGCGATCAGTGCGGAAACGCATGATGGCGGAAGTTCCCTTTGGTGTACTTCTCTCTGGTGGTCTTGACTCGAGTCTGGTCGCATCAATTGCGCAACGGGAAACCCTGCGCTTGAACGAGCTCACGAGGAAGAAGGCTGCAGCGTCTTCGGGCAACGCGAGCGAGCAGCAGAACCAACTTGTTGGTATTGATGACTCCAACGAGCTCCAGACAGATCTCCTCCTTGGACAGCTCAACTCCTTCTCAATTGGTCTGCCCAACGCACCCGATGCCATCGCTGCGCAGGAGGTAGCCAACTTCCTCGGAACCAAGCACCACACCTTTACCTTCACCATTGAGGACGGCCTCAACGCACTCACAGATGTCATCTTCCACCTCGAGACCTTCGACGTAACGACCATCCGCGCCTCAACACCCATGTTCTTGCTGAGCAGAAAGATCAAGGCTATGGGAGTCAAGATGGTGCTCTCGGGAGAAGGAAGTGACGAGATCTTCGGTGGATACCTCTACTTCCACAACGCACCCGACAAGGCCGCTTTCCACCAAGAATGCATTCGCCGCGTCAAGAACCTCCATCTTGCCGACTGCCTTCGCGCCAACAAGTCAACATCCGCGTGGGGTGTTGAGGCGCGTGTGCCTTTCTTGGACAAGGACTTCCTCAACACCGCCATGAACATCGATCCTGCCGACAAGCTCATTGACAGGGAAGCCGGCCGCATCGAGAAGTACATTCTGCGCAAGGCTTTCGACACCACCGATGAGCCAGAAACTCAGCCCTACCTTCCCGAGAAGATCCTCTGGAGACAGAAGGAGCAGTTCTCTGATGGTGTTGGCTACGGATGGATTGACGCGCTCAAGGACACTGCTGAGCTACACGTGACCGATGAGATGATGAAGAACCCGAAGCCGGAGTGGGGCAACGACATCCCGGATACCAAGGAGGCGTACTGGTACAGGTGTATGTTTGACGAGCACTTCCCCAGCTACTGCGCCGACACCGTCATGCGATGGACACCCACTTGGAGCAACCAGACGGATCCTTCTGGACGGTAAGTCTCCCCTTTTGAGTTATCATTCAGACAAAAAGCTAATTCGGTATAGTGCCATCGGCGTTCACGAGCAGAAGTACGCTCATGCTAAGTAGACTGTTCTTTCGGTATGAGTGGGCAAGGCTGGTACGGTAGAAACTACGGATCTCATTCTCAGGTCTCTTATGGCGCTTATAGACTGCTTAAGGGGAGATATACCCCACGGGAAATCTGTCAAAGGGTTCGGTCTTTAGCACACTAATGCACCATGTTGCGTGAAATTGATGATCTCAGAGCACGATGCATTTGTTGACGTTCCGAAGAAGTAGCTATGTCTCACGGTGTGGAACCAGTAGACGCCAAACATGTGGTTTATCATTACTTCTGTCATGCATGCAACTCTTTCTATCGAGCCATAGGTTTCACCCACCCAATCGCGAGCAGGCTGCGGGGGCCCTGCACCTCATACTTGTTCCCATATATATATATATACCGTTGCTTGCAACACAAACTCGATGAATTCAAATTACGAGCCATAGGTTTCAATAGAGGCTGCGCCAGCATTACTTCGGCCATCTCCAGGTATTGAGTGAGTCCTGCGACATCCTTATTCGGGTCTATTCGAAGAGTTTCCTTGGGCATCTCATCGTAAAGATCCCGCGCGCGCTGCGCATGTTCAACGTAACCTTGAATCAAGTTAGAACAAATTGTAATCAAGGTGAAGGTGTGTACATGCAATCGTCTGAGTTGCCAAGGAGAAGATGGAAGCCATCTTGGTGCCATTTGCCCACGGCTGGGTCAGCAAGAAGATCCCGACAGATGATGTAGGCTTCCTCGCGACTGCCAGATTTTCAGAGATCGACTGCTCGCAAATAATCGTTCCTGTACATTTGGCCGATAGGGCTGAGGGAACGATTGGACTCAGATGGGGACATGGCGCTTGCGATTTGGCTGCGTAGACAATTTCTGCGATTCTTTGAGTCGTATCGTACTGCGCTTCTTACGCAAATGAGTTGTAGGCTGATCATAAGTAAACGACGTGTATCTCCAGGTGCTTCACAGATACAAGTCGCTTTCGAGGACCACGAACAGGGTGGGTGCGCACTAGGGCAGCTTGATGTCAAGTTTCAAGATTGATATGCCAAATCTATTCTCATAATACAACATTACCTCGCCGCCGGCGCCCAAACATAGGTTCATCTTTTTTTCGACTGGGTATCGTAGACCAGTGATACAAATACATACACACAAACTTTTGGAGCAGATCATATCGTCGCTCTGCGGTAGATATCAAAACGCCAGACGTATCCAATACAGATCATTTTTATAAACACAGCTGAGCGCATCACGCCTCGAGGGCTGAAGATGCCTCGCCGTTGCCGAACACGCGGAATTGGATAAAGATGGTTATGTCCTCGACCATTGTGCCGAGGGAGCCGATGAGCCAGGGGAGGTTCGTGAGTATGTACTCTTTCTCCTGCGAGTGGAAGATAATCTGGCAGATGTTAGTCGCCGTGACTTCCAGCAAAGTGTGGATGTGACTTACCCCTGCACCATACGTAGCATTGCCCAAAAGACTCAACATGAAGAACAGCAGCGACAAGCCCTCGCAGGACTTCTCCCTCTGGTTCTTAATGATCTGAGGAATGCGCGCTCCAAGATAAGCCACGGCGCTCGCGTATCCCAAGATCATGGCACCAACAGGGTTGTCCGTGGTGTCCTCCGTATTATGCTGAGGCTGCGGAACCCACACACCAGTCTTCCACGCGATAGCCCAGCCTGCAGCACCAACGACACAGACACCCACGATGCTAAGCGCATTCTTAACCCACTCGCTCGCGCCATCGCCCACATCCGGAATCGTAGGTAGCGAACTCGCGCGCCGCCTGCGACTAGCTGCAGAATCGCGCCTGTGGCTTCCCGGCAGACCGACGTTGCTGCTATCGCGTCTGCCCAGCAGGGGCGCCTCAACGCTGTTTGTAGACTGCACGGAGGTTTTGCGCTCCCCGCGGCGCGAGTTCTTCATGTTGTAGTAGACGCATTGCGAGATGAGGACGAGGTCTGCGAAGCAGAAGTAGATTGCGAGGGCGATGACGGTGGGGACGAGGCCTGCCCAGAGGGCGCCGGCAAGGTTGGTTATGTCGCCGACGAACCAGACGACGAGGAAGGCGAGGGAGATGCCATCAGCGGAGGATGACTTGTAGTTTTCGATTAGTTGCGGGACCTGCGCGGTGTGTTAGGATGCGATTTGGTGATGTATGCCCAGGTGATGTCGCGTGCTGCAGCTCCAGTCGCGGTTCTATGAATAGCGCAGGTGGTATCAGAGATACATGAACATTGCAGGACGACGTGTCAAGGTCCCTGTACGTCCGCGAAAGCATAGGAAATGAAGAACAACAGCGTCGTCGTATCAAGTTGTTTACTCACCAACAGAAAGATCCACGAAGCCAGCGAGATTGAGCCGAAGACACCGGAAAGCGCCTCGTGAGTTGTCAGCGACACGCTGTGCGACATGACAGCTGCGAGCATGGTTGCGTTGCGTGATGAACAACGGGGGTTGGACGGGTAAGGGTGTAGCCCACACAGCGCGTGCGGCTACAGGTAATAATGATTTCTTGCTTCTGTTACTCCGTACAAGGGCATGCAAAGAAATCGCAGGGCTTGATGACGCACGTCCAAGACGGAGAGATTGCCGTAACTAGCCTGTCCAGCCGAGGGAGCCGCGAAATGGGGCCGCTGCAGAAACGGATTTAGAAGCAGCAAAAGTTGTAAAGATTGGCGGGTTGGACGAATGGGAAGGGAGGTTTTGCTAAGGTACGATGCGCGTCGAGCAATGCAGCGGGACGTCGAACTAAAAAAGCAGAGGTGGGCTAGTAGGGCAGTAAAAGACTACTAGTCTCTCGGGTCATCTGTGTGCAAATCTCCCTGGTGTTTCTGTTGAGGGACAGAATTTTTGTTCGAGCTGTCAAGCCTTCCAGGCGCATATGCAGGGCAGTGAAAGGTCCCGGGCGCTTTTTATAAACAACGTCTGTACTTCAACAACTGATGCAGTGCGTTTGGGGGCGCGTTGAAGTACCGTGGTACAGTATACGATGGCCAGATACGGAACGAGGACAGAAAACCTTCGTTATGCGTACCTAGGTACAGCCACGCGACACACCACAATAGAACGAATGCTGTTGGTTGGTTATGCAAAACCTTCGAAGCAAGATTGACTCAATGACTGTGACTGACCACCGTTTTGTATGGCCAGTGCTGGTGAGCCCCTGTGGATGGGTCTGGACTGCCCCGGCGGCTGATGTGTAAAATTAGGTATCACGTGACCATGTGTCGCAGTCTTGGAAGAGTGAAGCCGACCCTAAACTCTCCTGGGCTTTCTCCTCTTGATCACCTGTCATTCAACTCGGCACCTTCACTGGCTTCCGGCTAACATTCGCTACACTATTCTCTTGCCTCTACCCGTTCACTCGTTTGATCCATCCACATAGCTCATAGGCGACGAGATTCACCTCTATCGCCCTTAATATAACCTTGGCTGTTCGTGAAACGCGCGTCAGTCAGCTCCATCGTAAAAACGCTACCAGTCCTCCTGCTACCAACAACAACCGCCCACCATGTTGCCCAAGGCCTGGCTCTCCGTTTTTGTCTTGACTGTCGCATCGTCGGCCTTTACCCTCGAGGATCTACACATGGACGGTATCAACCAGTACCTCCATCAGGGCAAGAGGCAAGACGCCGAAGGCACTGGCGGCTCATCACCATCCGCCACGCCCGCGCAATCCTCAGCAGCACCTCCAGCGTCCTCCGCCGCACCACCTGCCACATCGTCGGCCGCACCTCCAGCAACATCCGCGACTCCCGAGCCAGAACCCTCAACCACCAACAACCCACCGCCGTCGAACGATCCCACATCCGACGCTCCCGCACCTTCGACTACCGCTGCCGCACCCACTTCCGATGGCGGCAATAATAACAATAACAATAACAACAACAGCAACAACAACAACGACGCTTCAACAACCGCGGCGGGCACGAGTCGCACTGGTGGAGGTGGCGGCGCCGCTAACTCACCGACGGCCACTGAAGATGGCAGCTCTTCCGTAAGAACGACCGCGATTGTCAGGACTTCCGCTCTCTTCGCTACCTCGGTGTTCGAGTATACCACGACTCTCGACACGACCCTGAGCGATGGCAGAGTAACCAAAGCGACTTCGACAGGCACCAGCACTTCCGTCTCCTCCACCGGTGAAGCCGTCGTCACCGACCCGCCCACCGCACAAGCAGGTGACAGCGACAATGGCGGTGGCATTAGTGACTCCAACAAGAAAGTTATCGGAGGTGTAGTTGGTGGCGTTGGTGGAGCCCTACTCCTCGGTGGCATCGCCCTCGTCTTCTGGCGCATGAAGAAGCGCCAAGCACGTGTCCACGAAGACGACGACGACCTCATGGCCGGCACTGGCTCAGCCCTCGGCGACAAGCCTCAGAACGGCACCGGTTCATCGCCCTTCCAGTCGAACCTGGAGCAGTACCACAACCCAGGAGGACGCCCCAACGCAGCTGCCAACTTCTAGGCGAAGCGCAGCCCAACCAAAGTACATAGGCCCATGAGGGCCCATTACGATACCAACGACTATCTGCGGAATTTGTCTGAGCTAGAAGCGATTTTGAGAGACGACAGCACGGCGGAGGATGTATATATTTGCAATCGCGGCTATAATGCACGAATGGCCTCTCTGTGAGTTTGCATCCCAGGCGCTGATTCCGCGATGTTAGATTCGTGTATACCGTCACCATCGTGGTCAGTCAGTCCCACAAGGACTGCGCACAATGTAGATTTAGACGTATACCATCACGTTGAAGAAGAGGCACCACAACCACTTTCGTCCGATCACTCCCCATCATCCTGTCTGTGTACGTTGCGCTTTGCATCGTTACACCTGTTTTAAGTCAGTTGTAATAGAGCGTCATTGCCTTTCTTGTTTGTTTTAGCATAGTCATACCCCAATCCATAGCGCGAAATATCGAAATCAGCATAGCCAAAAAGTGTCTACTGTCCGATTCCTTCTATTACATCACCATCTTCATGCTCTCCTTTTCTCCCTCACACTCGAACAAGGCCGTTCTTCTGCCCGCCTCGTCCTTCTTACGTGTGCAGCGTGCACATGTTTATGCGTTGCCAGGGGTCGAGTCAAGGATCGTGTTTCAGCACCGTCGCAAGCAACCAACGTGTCGACTTGCCCAAACAAGCTTTGTGACCGCTGGGCCCCAAACTCGTTTGGCGTGAGATAATGCATGTTCGGCGCTTCCACGCCATGTGGAGGCGTTTGGCGTTGGGGGCAGTAGGTTATACTTAGATGCGGTTGGCCCCGGGTGGGCGTTTGGAACGGGGATTTGCGTCTTTTGCTCTCTGGAGAGATTGCGATATTTACATTCGTTTGGTGCGATTGAGTCGATTATTTTCAAAGGCTGTGCCTACATACGTTCGGAGGATATTGGCCATCGTGGTATTGAGGTTTTACGCACGAGGTTGATTCACACGCGGCACTTTTCGTCTTTCACGCACGGCATATATTCAGCACCGGCAACGATTCACGCCCGTCAGGTCTTACTACACCGGCATCTTTCACGCACGTCAAAATATTATCATACCGGCATCTTTCAGCAGCGGCAAGATTCACGCACGGCAAACTTCTACGCCCGGCATCGTCTTTCACGCACGGCAGGAGCTTTCACGCGCGGCAAATCTTTACATACCGGCACTCTTCACGCGCGGCATCTTTCACGCACGACACCTTCCACGACCGGCAAAATCATTTCATACCGGCATCGATTCACGCCCGGCACTTTCTAACACCGACAATCGTCTCTGTCGACAAGTCGTCCCTACACAGCCATGTTCCTTCCCACAGCCCTCCTAGCTCTAATCCATCTCGCCCTCCCCGCCCTATCCCACGCCTCGCCACAACCAGCCTTAGTCTCCTCAGACTGGGAGATGTCACTAGTCCCTCGCCACACCCTCTTCCTACGACAAGTATCCGATCTGCAGACCTTTGACGGCAACCTCGGCGGAACGCGTGCATCACCCATTACAAACTCAGGCGACAAAGAACGACCATTCCAGGTCGACGGGGACACATTCACCAGTTTCGATTCTGCGGCGCAGAGAAGTTGCGATAATCAGTTTCAAGGGTGCAGTAACACTGCGAATAGTAATGGAGGAGGTGGAGGTAGGGGGAAGAAGGGGAAGAAGAGGCAGGATGGGGGGTTGAGTGTTAATGACTGTGATGAGCAGAAGAGTGAGTCATCCTTCCTCCCTTACTTTCTAGATATTGGGACGGATTGCTAACAGACTCGATAGGCAAGTGCAACGATGCGCAGAAGAGCGCACAGGTCAAGGACTTCAATAGTGCGGTTGCGAGTACGAACATTGGCCCTGATCCCGACTTTCCGGATTTCGATCTGATTTGCGAGGGGTAGTCGAGGGGAAGAAGTATTTGGTGACTTCCAAGTTTGGTATGGACTATGGACGTGAAGAGACGTGAAGAGGCCTTGGGATGGAGATTAACGCAGCGTTAATAGCATGCGTGCAAAGAATATAATAACGATACATCAACTAAGTACGTCTGAGATTTCATATTTTGACATGAACCATCTATTTGAACTCGAGGGTTGTGATGTCAACGGCTGCATCACGTGCGTGCTCCACGCTAAGTCGGGACGTGTTTACCTCGACTTTTCGTCAACTCTCCACCCAAAAATTTATCCACGAACACGTCTTCGCACACCAAAGCTGAGGTTTGATAAGATGACTACAATCTATTGAGTTGCCACTGCTCATCTTGCATGGTCCTTTCAACGCGCCACAATTCACAATGCCTCCGGCGCTTCTCTTCGCTCGTGCTAAGTCAATAGCACTTCTTTTCTTCGATCAATTTGCATCCTAGACTGCCAGAAACCCTAAAAAAAAGGCCGATAGCTTCAATGGCACCCAAACCTCGTACCGTGACAGCTAAGGCGCTGCAATCTCTACTTGTACACATCGGCGCACCATCCTCAGGAACAAAAGCAGTACTACAGGAACGATTCCGACGCGATATCGGAATATCTCATCTCTCCAAAAGTCGACCGACATGGCCGAAATCTGGAGCTGCAAACAAGAAGCTCCGAATTATGAGCATCGACATGGGAATCAAGAACCTGGCGTTTTGCGAGGCGGAGGTATCTTACCCATCGAAGGATAGCCTGGATGCGGAAATGAAAGTCTTGAGATGGGAAAAGATTAACCTCACGGAAGCCCCAGGGGACGAGATACAGAGCGAAAAGAAATCTTCACGAAAGGACAAGACCGCGAAGCAAAGTGCGGAGGGTGCTGACGAAGCATCGGACATGTACTCTGCGGATTCTTTGTCCAAGACAGCTTACAGCTTAATCAAAAACACGATTCTAGCAGGCTCGCCAGACATCATCTTGATCGAAAAGCAGAGATGGAGATCTGGCGGTGGAAGCGCGGTGCAACAGTGGACTTTGCGGGTCAACACCTTGGAAGGCATGTTATGGGCTGTACTTCAAACCATACACGCCCAAAGACTAGAGAACGGAGCTTCAGCATCGACTACAGCAAAGCTTTACGAAGTCTTCAGTGCAGATCCCAAACGCGTAGGACAGTACTGGCTCACCCGAGCTGCTGGACGCCTTGCAGAAGGAGACGAAGAAGTCGCTAAACCAAGCGAGAGCAACGAAGACGAAGCGGCGACTCCCAAAAAGACTCTGAGTCGATCCAAAGCAGAAAAGAAGGTCAAAATCGCTCTCCTCCGCTCTTGGCTCACCGCAACACCCGCGTCCACGGCATCGGTAACACAGAACACTGTACCAGGCATAACGTTCAGTTTCGCGCCAGATGCAGAGAGTACCCGTCAAGCGCTCCTATCGATCTCAACATCCAAACGACGTAAGAAAGCCAAGGATGAATCAGACGACGTGCTTCCAGCTGCAGCAGTCGCAGGCTCTGCGCTTAAGAAGCTGGATGATGTTACGGACTGTTTCCTTCAGGCTGCTGCGTGGGTCAGCTGGGAGTCGAATCGTCTGCAGCTGCGGCAAGTGTGGAAGCGGAATAAGAGCGGTGATGGAGGGGTGGAGGAATTGACGGATGAAGTTATGTTGGAGATGATTGAGAAGATTGAGGAGGTTTGATGTGGACTTTCTCTATCGTTGCTCTAGCCATGAATATGCGATGGATGGGACGAACACAAGAAGATACCTAACACACGCGCATGGTTAGCTGCTCATGAGCTGTTAGCATGGGCATACTGCGTCGAGGTACCGCGACTTCGCAGGACAGCGTGTGAAGTACCCTTCGAGAATTAGGCACGAAATCTTCACATGAATTACCCAAGCAATAACATCGGTGTCTTCCTTAATCACCCCAGTCTGGTGTTGCTCAGCCCACACCCGGTGTCAAACAAAGAAACGAACCATGTCTGCACACCCCCACTTCGCGCCTCTGACGTGGCACCCTTCACGTTTTCACATGCAAACCTCAATCAGTCATTCCCTCATGCAGCACACAGCCTTCTCAATCATCATATTCTTTTCGAACATGCGGTATATTTTTTGATAGATTTCGAAAATTCCCAGAAGTCTCTATTTCCGCTTGACGGTCTCGGTGGCGCAATGGTAGCGCGTTGGACTTCTACTAACTGTATCCATGGTTAATCCAAAGGCTGCGGGTTCGAGCCCCGCCCGAGATGCTTTTTGCTTCCTTTTTGCTGCTATCCACTCATGTACAGTACAGTGTGATTGTTTGGATGGATGGAGGGTTGGTTTGGTTGCGCGCGGATGAAGCTTGCCAGACATTTTTTTTAGGCTTGGTGGGGAAGGGCCGAACATCAAAACTACACTGCCATTCTTTACGTCGGTTTAATTGTAGGTAATTCATGTGTATTCATTTGACTGGGAATAGTCTATTGCTAGGATGATTTATGCGCCGTGACACCAATAGCGCCGTAGATGCTCACTTTTGCCTGCTTATACAAAATTGACTCAATCAGTCAGCTCCGCACTCCGGGTGACCTCCTCCTTCATCTCCCTGCCTTTCGCAGCTAGAAGGTTGAGCGCACTGCCAGCCATCACAAATCCACATTGATCGTGCGAGAGTGTGTGTTTGGTCTTGACGACCTTCTCGCTACCGTCCTTCTTCTTGAGGACAAGCTCGACTTCGCCCTTGCCGCCGCTCTTCAGCACGTCCAACAGTCCCCGTGTCGCGACCTGGTCACATGCTTCGAAGGCGTCGTAGTCGGCTTCGTTGGCGAAGGTGAGTGGGACGATACCTTGCTTCTTGAGGTTGGTCTCGTGGATACGGGCGAACGACTTGGCTAGGATGATGCGGCCACCGAGGTATCGGGGCTGTAGGGCTGCGTGTTCACGGGCAGAGCCCTCGCCGTAGTTGTGCTCTGCGACGACTAGCCACTCGATGCCCTGGTCGCGCCACCTCTTTGCTAGTTCTGGGATACCGGACGTCTTACCGTCGAAGTCGTAGGCAACGTTGACTTCATCGGTCTGTGCGTTGACTGCACCGATGAGTGTGTTCTCGGAGATGTTGGGGAGATGGCCCTTGTACTTGAGCCATGGACCGGCAGCCGAGATGGTGTCTGTTGTGCATTGTCCCTTGACCTTGTAGAGTACTCGCAGGCCTGTAAACTCCGAGCCAGGGAATGCTGGGAAAGGATCAAGGAGTGCCAGACGGGTGGATGTAGGCGAGACAATGACATCCACGCTGGCGTCGGGGACACCTGGCGTAGGCATGAAGTCTGGGTTACCGTCTGCGAAACCAGCGGTAGGGAGGTCAGAGCCCTTTGGCGGCGCGAACTTGAAAGGCTTGCCGTCAGGTGTCGGGATGCTGTCGGTCATTGGGTTGAAGGTCGTAGAGCCAGAGTACGACATGGCAGTAATGAGTTCGGGAGAAGCGAGGAAGTTCATGGTAGCTCGGTTGCCATCGTTGCGGCCGGGGAAGTTGCGGTTGTAGGAGGTAAGGATAGCGTTGGATTCGCCCTTCTTTACATCGTCGGTACGCTTCCATTGCCCAATGCAGGGACGTCGAGGTTGTCAGTACTTGGAATCAATCAGGATAATCTGGAAACTCACCCGCAAGCGTTTGCCAGTACAGTGCCACCAGCAGCAGTAAACGTTTGAAGGGTTTCATCCCGTTCTAACGTTGCTCGGATCTGTTCACTTCCTGGGGTAATGAAGAAGTCCGCCTTGGGCTTGAGACCCGCTGCTAGTGCCTGCTTCACAATCTCTTCTGACCGAGTCATGTCCTGGTATGAGCTGTTTGTGCAGCTACCAATTAGGCCCGCACCGAATGTTTGTGGCCATCCCTTCTCTTCAACTACAGACTTGAACTTGGATAGAGGTGTTGACAGGTCAGGGGTGAATGGTCCGTTGATGTGAGGCTCGAGTTCCGAAAGGTTGATCTCGATAACTTTATCATAGGCGGCTTCTGGGTCAGGTCGAAGTAGGTTTTGCTGCATTGGTGAACCGGCGATCTTGGCAGCGGCTTCAGCGATCGGTCCGCGATGTGTGGCTTGGAGGTAGGGGATATGCGCAGGAGAGAAGGGGAAGAGCGAGGTAGTTGCGCCGACTTCAGCGCCCATGTTGCTATATCGTATTAGTACTTGTCCACGAGTTGAACTATGTAAGGGTCTCACCAGATAGTCGCCATGCCTGTGCAGCTCAAAGACTGCACACCAGGGCCAAAATATTCAATGATGAAGCCAGTACCACCCTGCACATACGTTAGCCAGAAGTACTTCACAATGTTCAAGATGACATACGCGGACGGTCAGCTCGCCAGCCAGTTTCAGGATCACATCCTTTGGCGATGCCCATCCGCTGAGTTCTCCAGTAAGTTTCACACCCAAAATCTTGGGGGCCTTCAGCTCCCATGGTGCATCCACCAGAGCATCCACTGCGTCCGCGCCACCAACACCAATGGTAATCGATCCCAGACCTCCAGCATTCGGTGAGTGACTGTCTGTACCCAAGATCATGAGCCCAGGAGCACTGTAGTTTTCCAGGACAGACTGATGAATGATGCCAGCGCCGGGTGGCCAGAACTCGATTCCGTACTTCTTCGCTGCCGACTCAAGGAAATCGAAAACCTCCTTGTTGCCCGCTATCGATTGTGGAAGGTCGGTATCGGCGCCCTTCTCTCCTACGATCATATGATCGCAGTGAATACTAGCAGGCACAGCCGTACTCGGCAACCCACAGCTCATAAACTGCAACAGCGCCATCTGCGCACTCGCATCCTGCATCGCCACGCGATCCGGCTTCAACTTGAGATTCGCCTGGCCCCGAATATCCCTTCCTCCATTGGTGTTGCTCAACAAAGACTCCTCAGGACTCTCAAGATGCGAATAGAGGATCTTCTCTGCCAAAGTCAATTGGCGAGACGAGCCCAGTACGCGCCGGACTTGTTCGAGCCGCGAGAGAAGTTTGGCGTACGGTGGGGTGCGCGAGCCGAGGTCGACGTTGCGCGCGGAGGGCGGCGAGTGCGATGTGGCTAGGCATCTGAGCGGTTGGCGGAGGGAGGAGAGATGAGGCTGTAGAAGGGGTGTCAGCGTCTTTGTGCCACTTAGAGGTGTAGTAGAGAAGCGCGATGACGATGACTATTGCGGAAGTCGCATGGGGTTTGGAGAGATGTTGGGCGGCCAATGGTATGTGTAGACTCACCCTGCAGTTGGCTGCTTGACCAGCACGAAGTATTTGCGACCGCATCTTTTCGTAGGTTGTCCGTGGCGGCGACGCGGTGCGAGCACGTCAAAAATGGTGCCTTCAGAATATACCGAGCCGACTGCGGAGATGCACGCGAGTCATATGTACCGCGGAGAAGGAAACTCTCTGACCCAATCACAGCACGCGTCAAAGTAATCTGAGAGATGACGCGATGGGCAATACCATTCTTAAATTTAAGCTATAGCAATGGCACTGGTATCCTAACTAAAATGACAACTCCAGATTGGCAGACTATTACCGTGACTGAGACGATGCTCCGTACCTGTAACTAAACGTGCCGAAGCGTAGAGAAACCCTCAAAACCAATCCGCCACACCCGCCGTCAGTCAATATGCAAAGGCAAATCGGACTAGTTTCGATCAATCAAGTCAAGTTGAAAGGCTGTCGTAAGCGCGAAATCATAGTCGTTGCTTCGGACTTACAAACCGGGAGGTGGAGGGACGGCGCCATAGTTGGAAGGCGATGCAGCCGGTGGAGGCGGCGGTGGAGCAGCGTAGCCGGATGGCTCTGAAGGCGGCGGCGGTGGTGGTGCAGCCGCGCCAGCGCCAGGAGCAGGCGACTGTGTCTGGCCATAACCGTTCTGAGCATAGTACGCGGCATACTGCTGTTGCTGAAGTGCGAGGTACGCTGCATATCCACCGTACGCCGCATAAGGATCAGCCTCTGGGTTCTGCTGGTAGTAGGCAATCCATGCTTGTGCCGCATTCGCATCGTAGGCTTGGTTGTTAGCATCAGCAGTCGGCGTTGCAGCAGCAGGAGACATGATTGTGTCCTGGCCGCCGTAACCGTTCTGACCCTGAGCGCCGTAGCCACCGTAGCCGCCGCCTCCTCCGTTTCCTCCACCGTACCCGTAGCTCTGGCTGCGACCATCACGGTCACCGCGATCTCCACGGTCGCCACGATCGCCGTATCCCGGTCGTCCACCGCCATAGCCATCTCGGTCGCCGTAACGGTTCGGTGGAGGGCGTTCCTTGTAAGCGTGGTAATCCGACTTTACCTTGTCGAGGAGCTCGTCGCAAAGTTGCTTGGCTTGGGCTACGCCTTCGGGACGGGGTCCACTACGATCTGTCAGTAATTGGAGGGTAGGAATGGCGGGGTATACGAACGCGATGTGGAGGTACATGGGCTCGTCGCTCTCTTGTCCGCTGTTTGGCTCCATGAAGCCGGAACCGCGGCCTTTGATCTGAACTTTGCAGCCTGTCTCCTGTTGAATGAACTTGACGTTGTCGCCACCGCGACCGACAACCTGTGCGCGCAAGTTAAAGCCGCTGATAGGCTCGAGACCTACGGAAATCTTCTCTTCGGGCCACTTGCGCTGGGAAGAGTTAGCAACATGTTGGATGACAGACAGGGTGACATACTCTGCCAAATTCGTCGCGCTCGAAGTTCTCAGGCTCTCTACGACGGAAACGACGTTCGTCTACAAGGTTAGGAAGGTCCTCCTTCATCATCTCTTCGATCATCTCGACAGCCTTGTCCAGGCCTTCTTTGGAGGTGCTAGTGATGCGGAGGTACAGCGGCGGGTTCTGTTCCCGTTAGCTTTGTCGACGAGACTCTGTGTGTTCACCTACAGTAGCAGTTGCCATGTTCTTGTCAGGGTAGTATTCTCCGCGAGTAGTGACATCTTGCATGTATAAGCAGGTATTCTAAAGGTTAATGGTTGTAATCGGGGATGCGTACCGGCGCCAGTCTCGTCTTTGATCTAGATGGCACATGGAGGTTAGCATTTGATAAATGGGGTGGGGTGCTAGATCAAGTAAGCTCTGACTCTCATTGAGAGATGCGCAAACAGAGACCAACTCCAGCCCCGCAGCACACGCACCAGGTGCAGCGCAGCAGAGCATGGAGAAGGCATGATCCTACATGATCAGTGGACAGCAAAAACAGTTATTTACCCTCTTTTGTGTAGCTCCTTTAGTCAGTGTATAGCGATTACGGAGATCATTGATCTCAA